AACCCTAACCCGGACCTCTACCCCCCACAGCTCCTATCCTAACCCTAACCCGTACCTCTACCCCCCACAGCTCCTTCTGTAGTCCCTCTACCTCTATCTCTATCTCACCACTGACTCTGATCAGTGTTTCTCCTCTATATAGCTTATTGTCATGGTGATGATAAATGGAATATTGCGTCTACTCTGTACATCGCTTTGGATAAAAGCGTCTGCCAAATGCATGAACATAAACATAAACATAAACAGTGGAACCTGGGCAGGAACCCTTTCTGAGTACTCACTATGATGCCGAACTGCTGCAGGGCCAGCCGGATCACCTCATTGGTGCAGTCCGAGTTGCTGACAGGAAGCGTCTTGGTCTGAAAGAGAAGAGAGAAAGGATTCAGCCTCCGGTTCATTTCAGCCTTCGGTTCATTTCAGCCTCCGGTTCATTTCATTCTCCGGTTCATTTCCAGCTCCTCGGACACCAGCGTCCACTCACCACAGCGAAGCTGTTGATCCCCTTCCCGTACACCCTCAGGGGGATGGTTTTAGGCTCCTCGCTCTCTTTCTCCTCCCGTATGCGACTGCAGACAGAAGTCAGATCTTTAAAGCCCACTCAGAGGGAACGTCCTCTCTGTTGGTGCTTGCAGAGAGTTTACTTCTTTAAAAACTAATTTATTTGACACGGCTTCTTATATTTTAACCTTAGGTTGTTTTTTTAACCTTTTTAGCTCTTTATTTTACATTAAAATTACATATATGTAGGTGAAATATGTTAGCTTTTTATGTTTATTTTTACCTGTACAGCACTTTGGCAACTTTTGGTTATTTTAAATGTGCTCTATAAATAAAATTTGACTTGACTTGACTTACCTCTTCAGGAGGGAGAGCCACCTCTCCTTCTGCTCCGACGAGCTAAGAGAAAGTTTAAAAAAACCGGTGAGGACACTACATTCTCCAGATTATTGTCACTCTTTCAGACCATCTGGCTAAAGTTCACATAATTTATGAAAAGGACGACAGAAAGAAAATATTTTCCAGTCAGATTTACGTTGAAATAAGGTCCCAGATGTGTTTAAAAACTGAAAAGGCCAAGTTCATTTATAGAAATAATTCCTCCAAGTATGAAAAAGCTGGCTTTAAACAGCAGTTTGGAGCTGTAAGCTGCACATTTACAGGCTTAGTGACCATGTTTTAAAGTGCATATTTAATTCCTCCACCTTACAGGGGACGCTTCGTCTGCTTAAATCAGACCAAAAAAACACTCTTTTGCTTTAATTTTCACTTTGCTCTCAATAGCTAATTCCATTAAGGAGACCATTAACGAATAATTCCTTTTACATCAGACTTTTCTAATGTTTTCCTGATGAGGGAATGCATTCATGTTTCTCATTTTCTATCTGTAGTCCAAATAGGCAGCACTTTGAGCTCCAAAAACACAGAATGAAGAAGACATGAAGCAGAAAGAAAGCACAAGCTGCTTTTATTTTCCTGTTTGTGGTCCACTCATTTGAAGTCTATCTATCTATCTATCTATCTATCTATCTATCTATCTATCTATCTATCTATCTATCTATCTATCTATCTATCTATCTATCTATCTATCTATCTATCTATCTATAACATTATGCAAAAAGTATTTCAGACAGATATTCATTTTGAGTTTGTGTCGTTATATTTTGGGGTTTCAAATGTATCCTCCAAAGACAAATACTAGAAATACTTCTAGAAAAGCTGTAACCAGGAAGTGGCTAAGACTGGAAAGACCTACAGCGGAAGAATGATTTGACATATGTTTAAGATGGAAAGAATTACTTTTGTTTTAAGATTTGAAAGGGATCTGTTTAAGAAAAGATGGGAAAGATGGATCAGATATGTCCCTCTGATATATAGCCCTGGTATCCATTTCCCCTTCTTCTTCCTCTTTCTCTTGTTTTCTATCCTTTTAATTTTCAACCCTGATGCATCAGTGAAGTATTTACTTAATTTTCCCAATGCATAACAGAAGCACACCCCAGCATTTTTGGTTTTAGCCAAAGGAGTTAAGTTAGATATTTTTGCATGTTATTAATCTCTTTTTTTTGTGTGTGTGGTAGAGGGAGAACCATTCATCCCCATCTGTATATCCTGTGGAATTAGCTAGATAAGTATAAGTCTGTTGTAATGAACAGATAGTTGGAGATGACTGGTGTATTGTTTAATAATGAAAATAACAATAGAAATAGAAATAGAATTGACTTTTAGCTCCTCTTTGGCTTCACTGGGGTGGGTTTCCTCCGGTCTGTTGTCTGTGTGCTGACATCTAAAGAGGTTTTCCGGCCTCAGAGGCAGAAATATCGTTACCTGAACACGGCCACGCAGTTCCAGGTGGGCCAGCCCATGACGAATCCCCGTTCGGGGGGGGTGCTGCCCTCACACACCTCGTCCAGGCAGCCGGCCGTCCACATCTCACACACACGCACCTGCGCCTTCTGCTTAAAGTGGTTAGCCGACCTGTAACCCAGAGGCCAGGAGCTGGGGTTGGACTTGTTTCCTAACTTTTTTATTGTATTTTTCGTGGTTTAAAATCACTGTAAAGTGCTTCGGTCGGCTCAGTTGGCTGTTGTGAAGCACTAGATAAATAATCGATCAATTAAAGGAGTCATATTATACCATATTTCAACAAGTTAACCCTGTAATGCCAAATGTGTCATATTTGATTCATACGGTTTCTGAAATGTTTTGCGAGGACACCTTTTGCATAATTTATTGGTTAAAACTTAGCTTAAAATCCTATTGTACACAATCAGATACACCTGATAACAGGGGGCAGAAGACTACACAAAAAATAATCTTGACTTATGGCATAGTAATAAATTATTAATATTAAAAATGTATTTCTGTTTTTTCTTTTTACATATTTTGTTAAAAGGCCAAATACTGAATTAAAAAAAAAAAAAGTTATTTTTTTGTTTTGTTTTGTTCTTGGATTGGGCTTTAAAGGGTTAAACTAGTTCCCAGGTGTCCTAATGTGATGTCTGTGACAAGCTACCATGCTAACGCTCACGCTACCACAGCGTCTGCCACAGATGGGGGAGTAAGCTGAGGGGGGGGGCAACATGCAGGTGAAAGGCTGGAATATTATAATGAGCTAGAGCTAATGACGTCAGAAACTACCCACTCCTGAAACCTCCTGATTTATCTCCTGGATTCAGACTGAGGCAGCCCACAAAAACATGACATTTTTTCTACACTTTTCCTGCTGATAGGCCCTCCACAGTCCCAAATGTACACAATCAAATGATTAAAAACTTGGTTTTGCATAATATATCCCCTTTAAAGGCCACGTGCTCACTTGGCCTTGGCGACGACCAGGATGTCGCTGAACAGGAAGAGGTGTCTGTCCTGGGTCTGCATGCCGGTCTTGAGCTGGGCGTGGCCGTGCAGCAGGAAGGCCCGGCCGGAGCCGCTCAGGAGGGACTGGACCAGCGGGCAGGACTCCGGACACACAGGAACCAGGAAGCTCTCCCTGGAGGGGAAGAAACAGGAACATCTCAGACCATAATTACCATAAACCCCCCCCTCTGACAGAGATGTCCAGTAAGGAAGTAGAGCTACTTAAGTACTGTACTTAAGTACTAAAATGCAGTATCTGTACTTTATTGGAGTATATATTTTTTGCCCTACTTTTGCTTTTACTCCACTACATATTTTTGATTAATTTAATACTTTTGCTTTTACTCCACTACATATTTTTGATTAATTTAATACTTTTACTTTTACTTTCAAGGGCTGAATCGTTACTTGTTACTGATATGTAAACGTAATGAATCATCCCAAGTCATAGTGTCATAAATAGTCATAATATGTCATAATAGCCTTTAAAAAAATGCCTCCCGAAAGATTGCGAAACTGTATGTACTTTCAATACTTGAGTAGCAATTTTTTAAATACTTCTACTTGCAATACTTAAGTAAAAGTAAAATAGAGTACTTCCGTACTTCCACTTAAGTTAATGGAGTTAAAATAACACTTGAACTTTTATGAAGAACTCTCAGAAGAACAGAAAGATGGAGAAAGTGTTTTCTAAAGGTCTGAAACCACTGATCTGACTGTGTCATGGAGCAAACACCATCAAGAAACGAGCTTCCACACAGCAAAGAGCTGTGTTAAGTCCTTCTTATGACTGGAAATCATCATCTTTCAGTGAAACCAGAACCTGACAGGCAGCAGATCCGGTGTCCAAAACAGCCCAGACATTAGCCTGATCACATGCTAATGTCTCCGTTATTGGATTATTCACTTTAGACGTTCGTCTCTAAACTTTCCCTTCAAACACAAAACAGATTCCAAGAAATAATAAGTGGATGCAGACATTGTCTAAAAAGCTTCAGAGATCAGATCTGGTCCTCGTATCATCATTACGTAACATTAAACTAAACTAAACTCATCCCCCCCAAACCACCTCTTCATTCATTCAGAGCCAAAGTATCAGAAGCTCTACGAAAGGACAAGTTTGGAAAGCAAACCCCCAAAATCAATTAACAGATTCCACCATAAAGGTGGCCTCATCCGGCCAGGAAACGGTTCCTAACTCCCCATAAACCCTCCATTCCTGCTCGCATTTTGGACAGAGTTGGTAAACTGTGATCAGAGGGCGCTTTTGTTTCCTTTGGAAGCAGTCTCCAGTCTTTTTTAATAAGCTAAGCTAACGCCTTCTTGTGCAATTAGAGCAGCTGAATGAGCTTCTGATCGTCAGACTGCTCAGAACAGGAGATAACTCTGTCCTCATTGGACGATTTGAGCGATCAAATATAGTCTATAAAAAAAAGCCTCCCAAAAGATTGCGAAATTGTATGTACTCTCAATACTTGAGTAGCAATTTTTGAAATACTTCTACTTGCAATACTTAGGTTAAAAAAAATGGAGTACTTCCATACTTCCACTTAACCCTTTAAAGCCTGATCCAAGAATAAAACAAAACAGAAACTGACTTTTTTTGGTTTGAATTCCTTATTTGCCCTTTTAACAAAATATGTAAAAAGAAAAAACTGAAATACATTTTTAATATTAATTATTTATTCCTATGCGATAAGTAAAGATTATTTTTTGTGTAGTCTTCTGCCCCCTGTTATCAGGTGTATC